TCGAAATTAGCAAAACACCTAACCTAATAGAGACCCGTGAACATCCGGGTGGATGGTATATCAGCGCTAGCGAATTCTGATACCATCGCTCAACATTTTTGGTAGCAGAGCGTGGTTGTTTTTATTGTATTAATTTTTTGGTTCACACTCTATAGGTTAATTTTTGTTTTCTATTGCTTATAATATATCATGGCGCCCGACACCCTTAGTGATAGTGAACGGTCGGAGCGGTTACTTAAACGGTGTATCATGCGTCGGGATGGTGCTATCCAAGATATGAATGATTTACATAAGCTAGCGGTAAAGGCAAAGGGTGATATATCGTGTAAAGCGTTATTTTTTGCTCGCAAGGCTGACATTGAACAATTTATGGCAGATATTACGGTAGAACAAGACACAATTATGGACGCGTTGTTGGACGCGGGTCGGGACAGCGAATATGTAAATATACACGCTCCATTGATTCGGGAGGTTAAAAATCAATATTATTTCATTCATGCCACAGCACAAGAACTGACCGTTGAACCTCAACCTGTACAAAATGTTCGTACCAACCTCCATTTGCCAAAAATAAAGTTACCGTCATTTAGTGGGGATATTCTACAGTGGCCAACCTTCCGTGACAAGTTCGTTGCGTTAGTCGATTCAGATCCCGACTTATCCCCAATCGAAAAGTTCCACTTATTAGCAGGTTGTGTTACTGACCGGGCTGCCACCGTGGTTAACTCGTTGAAAATGACAGATATGAATTATCCAATTGTGTGGCGAAAGTTGATTGATCAGTTCGACAATCCTCGTCTATCTGCCTCGACATTAGTAGACGGACTTTTGAGCTTCCGCCGAATGGAATTTGAAACCGTTCCAGGTTTATCAGCGTTCTTACATGTTTTTGACGAAAGCCTGCAATCGTTAAAAATGTTCGACATCGAAGATGTGTCTAGTTTTATTATGTTTGTATTAGCAAATAAAAACCTTCCACGTGGTACGCGGGAATTATTTGAAAAGGAGAACTCCAACACTTTTCCTGGTATTGAAGATTTGGTAAAATTCGTTCGATGTCGTATAAAAATCTTGGAAAATATTGATGGTGCGGCAGGTAAGCACATGCCTAAAGACAAATCAAACGGTAGGTTCAGTGGCAAGCCCACTGGTAAGTTGATGATGGTATCAGCACAGGGCGATGCAAACCCCAAATGTCCTATTTGTAAAGCACCTCATGATATACAAGTATGCACAGAGTTCTTATCTATGCAAGCTCCGAAGCGGTTTAAGATGATAACTAGTTTCCGTCGGTGTTTCCGATGTTTGAGTGCTACTCATGTATCATCAGCCTGTACCAGTGACGTTTTTTGTGTTACATGTAAGGGGTCACATCACAGTTTACTACATTTCCAAAAATCTAGGGTCAGACCACCATCAGTCAATGGTGGGAGTTCAGCCTCGGCACCAAGTGGCATGAATCGTGGGGCATCACCTAGCCCTGTATCGACCAGTGCCGTATCTCATGTTGGGAAAATGGGACCATCCACGGTAGTTTTGGGAACAGCCCTGGCTCATACCCGTGATCGGTTCGGTCAAACCGTGGATGTACGGGTTTTAGTTGATTCAGGGTCGCAAATTAGTGCTATAACCGAATCATGCGCCCACCACCTCGGATTAACTATTACAAAATGGACGGTCCCAGTGTCAGGATTAGCCGGTGTTACGCTACCCACAGTGAAGGGTTTAACTTCGTGTACCATTACACCTAGGTTCGAAAGTAATACCGAACTCGAGGTCAACACATGGGTGTTACCAACCATAACTGTAAATTTACCGACGTCACCACTTCCAGCATCCATCAAAAGTTCATATGCTCATTTAGCGCTGGCCGACCCCAAGTTTGACATTCCAGCGACAATTGACTTGTTGTTAGGCGCGGATTTATATAATCATGTGTTCGACGGAAAGCAGTATTCTGAAGAAGGTAATCCCACGGCGTATAGTTCTATATTTGGATGGATTCTTATTGGTCCGGTGTATCCTGCCGCAGCTTCCTATCATCAAGCTGTTGTTGTTTCGTTGGCGACCTCATTAGAGGATATGGTTCGGAAATTCTGGGAAGTTGATGAACCAACGACCGCGCCAAGTGAAACTACTGAAGACGGATTTTGTGAAAAGTTATTCTTCGAACACACTATGATAGATCGATCCGGTCGGTATATAGTTCCGTTGCCGTTTCGAGACGCTAATCCGCAAGAAATGTTGAAAGGGACTAGGAACATAGCCCAAAAGCGATTCTTAAATTTAGAACGAAGATTAATTTTAAATCCTACCTTGTATGAGGCGTATCGTGACTTTATGGCTGAGTATGTCAGGTTAGGGCATATGCAAGTGGCTAACACTCCTGGCGATTACATCATTCCACATCATGCCGTCACCAAGGACGAAAATGGGAAATTGAAGATCCGTGTAGTATTCGACGAGTCTTCCCGATCCTCAGGTGGACACTCATTGAATGATGTACTTTTGACGGGTCCGAAACTCCAGAATGACATCACAGATATTTTGTTAAGGTTTCGTTTTCCGCGATTTGTTTTCGTGGCCGATATTTGCAAAATGTATCGGCAAATACTCATTCGACCAGAACACCGATCGTTTCAGCATATTCTGTGGCGACCGTCCCCTGCTGATGAACTGATTGAATATGAACTCAACACCGTAACGTATGGGACCGGACCTGCTCCATACTTAGCCATCAAAGTGTTACATCGGGTGGCCGAGTCGTGTCGTGCCAAACATCCAAAGGTACATGAAGCGTTGTTCCATAATACTTATGTAGATGATGTGTGTGCGGGTGATGATGTTCTCGATGGTGTGTTAGACTTACAAAGAGATCTAATGGCAGTGCTGGCCAAACATGGGTTCGAGCTGAAGAAGTGGACTAGCAATTGTGACGAAGTATTAGCCCGGATAGATCCATCCTCACGCTCGGAAACTACCATACCGTTTGAAAATTCTGAGGACGCATATGTACGAGTCCTTGGATCACATTGGGATCCCGCTCATGACGTGATTGGTTATCATGTGTCATCAGAACTAGGCGTATATACCAAACGAGGAGTGTTGTCCGTAATTGCCAGGTTGTATGACCAGATTGGTATGCTGGCACCAGTCACCTTTTGGGCCAAAGATCTTTTGCAGCGATTATGGAAATTAGGACTTCATTGGGATAGTGAATTACCACCTGATCTACTAAATCAGTGGCGGACGTACTTGGAAGATCTTCCTGCCGTGTCTCAATCCACGTTGCCTAGACATATTGACATTGTCTCGGCTACCGAAATACATTTGTGTGGATTCTGTGACGCTTCGAATAAAGGCTATGCGGCGGTGGTCTACATACGGGTATATACCCGTAGTACCATTAACATATATCTCTTAGGAGCAAAGTCGAAGGTAGCCCCGGTCAAGATCATGACTACGCCCCGCTTAGAGTTATGCGGTGCACTGTTATTGGCCAAGTGGATGGATCGCTTGAAAACCGCATTGGAACCCCAGGTAAATATTGACAAGATGTATTCCTGGACCGACTCATCAATCGTCTTATCTTGGTTGGTATCACCTCAAATTAATTATAAAATATTTGTGACCAATCGAATCGCTAAAATCAGGCAATTACTTCCCGATTGTCAATGGAATCATGTACCATCCGAAGACAATCCAGCGGACTGTGTTTCTAGGGGGCTATTAGCGTCACAATTAGCGAAATATACGCTTTATTGGAACGGGCCTAAGCTGTTAAGGGATCTGGAACCAACAGATGGTCAGTTTATTCCCATACCTCCAGATGAATTGCCTGAGTTAAAGTCACACGGTCCCTTGGTCTCGCTAGTCAATACAACAAGCGACTTCGCGGGAATTATCTCCCGATACTCGTCCCTATCGTGTGCGCAACGGGTGTTTGCATTGGTATGGCGTTTTATTGCTAAAACGAAGAAATGCCAGCCAGGCAACGGACTTATTCATCGGTCAGAGTTGCAGAAAGCCCTAGACACGCTAGTGTACATGACCCAACGACAATACTTTGGGACATGGATGGAAAAATTACATGATAGCCCCCCGAGTAACATTCCTAATTCCTTCCGAAAATTGAAGCCATACCTTGATGAGTGTGGGATCATTCGAGTTGGAGGTCGACTACGAAATTCAAATTTGAGTGAACATGCCAAATTTCCTATGTTGGTGCCCAAAGGGTCACATATAGCGTCTCTGATTTTACAACATTATCATCGTTGTTATTTACATGCAGGACCACGTGCGCTGGGCTCCGTAGTTTCTCAAGTATTCTGGATTACTTCAGCTCGAAACGAAATTCGTAAAGTTATTCACCGATGCATCACATGCACCAAATGGGCTGCTGTTCATCCACAACCTATCATGGCGGATCTCCCCACTTCAAGGATTACACCAAGTCGCCCATTTTGCCACGTCGGCATAGATTATGGAGGTCCGTTTATAGTCCGGGAAAGCCGCCGACGAAAGGCAAGAGAATACAAGGCGTACATGGCGTTATTTGTGTGTTTTGCTACGAAGGCTGTCCATATTGAGACTGTAACAGAATTATCGACCGAAGCATTTTTAGCGGCATTTGATCGCTTCATTGCTCGGAGAGGATCGCCTACCGATGTTTATACCGACTGCGGTACTAACTTCGTAGGAGCAGAACGGCAATTACAAACATTATTAGGACTAGAAAAAGAACAGTCCATCATAATCAATGACACCACTTGCAATTGGCATTTTAATCCACCGGCAGCACCTCATTTCGGAGGGCTATGGGAAGCTGGGATTAAGTCAGCCAAATTCCACTTGAAACGAGCAATCGGTACTCAAGTACTCACATTTGAGGAACTAACAACCTTGCTGACTAGAGTTGAAGGTATCTTAAATTCTCGTCCATTGACACCGTTGTCCTCAGACCCGAGTGAAATTGATTGTCTCACCCCTGGACATATTTTAATCGGACAACCACTCATGGCATTACCAGAGTTAGACCTCACGTTAACCAAACAAAATTGTCTCACTCGTTGGCAACTCTTGCGCCAATGTAACCAGCAGTTTTGGCATCGATGGTCACACGAGTACCTGTCTACCCTACAAGTTAGATCCAAGTGGACTTCGCCTGGAAGCACTTTGGCAGTAGGAGATGTCGTGATTATCAAAACACCACATACGCCGCCGACCGTTTGGCCAACAGGTCGCATAACCGAGGTCCACCCAGGCAAAGACGACGTCGTCCGTGTGGTCACCCTAAAAACCGCAAAAGGAACTACCAAACGTCCGGCCGTTCAATTGGTTAAACTCCCAACCGATGCCTAACCCCGTTCCTCCTTATATAAAAAAGAGGGATCAAAATGTAAACAACCCATTGTAATATGCACGGTATTAG